TTGAAGTTGTTCTGGGCTGAGGACTTAAAATACTTCTGAAGGATCAATGTAGCTGATCACCTTAATGCCCCAAATCTAGACCTCGAGTCATCAACTAAACGTATTTCAGCCATTCATTCTCCAGGAAATTTCCAATTCTTTGATTTATTGCTGTTACCATTTTTCTTTTTCATTCATTTTAAATGACTTTTTCTTTCTCCTTTTCTGCAACTATTTGTGCTTCATCAAGAAATAGATTCCCAATATTGCATAGTGCTTCCCACCTATTCATATATAAATAGTTATACATATACCTGCTTAGTGTATGTAAAAATTTGATCTGCTTCCACTTGAAGATATTTCCCCTAGAGGTTTTAATTGCTTCAATCAGCTTTCACAACAAGCTCTGTACAAATTTATATCATTAATTGGTGTATATTTATCATTAATTTATGCATATAAAATAGACAAAAATTTTCAAATTTGGAATTTTAAAGAAATATTGCTAGTATTTATGTAATTATAAAACCACCTTAAGCAAATCCAGTTCTGAAAATCTGGGCTTAAAACAAGTCAATTAGGGTGTGGTTGCTCACTTTTAAAAGTATCTTCCATAGGATTCTTTCCCAGCTGTTAATAATTTTTCTTTTTTCCCCCCACATCCACTAGCTCAGCATCTGGCAGGTAACAGGTGTTTTATAAAGATTTGTTGAATGAATGAGTGAGTGAAAATTGATTGAGGATCTCCAGTACAATAACTTTTGTTTTTATGATCTCTCTTTTCTGATCCAGGTAAAATGGTCTTTGCAAAACCACTGCCAGCATCATCTTCCTTTCAAGTTGTTACTTTTCTCCTACCAGGAGTGGGGAACCTGCAGCCTCAAGGACACATGTGGCCCTCCAGGTCCTCGAGTGTGACCCTTTGACTGAATCCAAACTTCACAGGACAAATCCCCTTAATAAAAGGATTTGTTCTGTAAAACTTGGACTCAGTCAAAAGGCTGCCCCCAAGGACCTAGAGGGCCACAGGTTCCCCACCCCTGTCCTAAACATTCTTTGACTCAGTGTTCTTTACATAGCCCAGTTGGCTGAATCAGGATGTCCCTTCTTTTTTTTTTTTGGCTGCTTTTTGGTGAAGCAATTGGGGTTAAGTGACTTCTCCGGGTCACATAGCTAATAAATGTTAAAGGTTTGAGGTCACATTTGAACTCAGGTCCTCCTGACTCCACCGCGCCACCTAGCTGCCCCTGGATGTCCCTTCTTCTGTCCTGCCAAGGTGTGTGGAGACCTCCACCATCTTCCGGCCATCACACCTTCTGTTCAGGCCCTGCCTCAAATACCTAGAGCTTTTTAGTTACATCCCCCTAGCAAAAGTTTTTCTCCACTTTCTCCCTGCCAAAATTGCCACTGATTTACCTCTGCCAGGTAAATCTGTCTTCTGGGAAACTTTTATCTGTTTAATTGATCAAATTAAGCTCTAAGGCAAGACCCATGTCATCTTCCCCGTCTTTAACAGCACAGAGCACTTTGCTGGCATCAACAAATAATAAACCTTCTCTTGTTGTGGTTTCTGATCAGACAGGTAATAGCAAATCCCTGTGATCAGCTTTTATCTTTTATTATAGTTAATGATTCTGCCTCACTTGAAATTCCAGTTATCTCCATCTGCTACTTCCAAATCTTTCTTAAGTGAAATGGTTGTTCTCATACAATCTATAATCTCAGCCAGCCTTTTCACAACATGCGGCATCCACCTATATTTACCTCCTACTGTTTTCTTTGCTTTTTTTCTCACTTCGGGATGAATTCTGACGTGAAGATGCCTCAAACTCCATCTATTTCCAGTTTGCTAGAACAGGGTCATTTTCCCCCTAGATTTTCTAAATGAAGGTCAAATGATGTTGTTCTATGAAGTAACATAGCCACAGTATACAAAAAGTTCAAGATGGACAAGTTAACCTTACCACTAAGATTCTTCTTTCTAATTCTCCCATCCTTAAAGTTGTTTTCTAGCCACAGCCTTCCCAGAGCCACTCCCTAAGTCACACATACTCCCCTGGGTCGTCCATCCAGCACACCCTCTTGTATCACTCAGTTGCTTTGGAGCTTTCCTGTTCTCCTAAGTGTATGGAATGGTGATTTTTGCCAGTGAGCAGTAATTTTCCTTAAGGAACTATCTTTATCCCTTTTCAAAAGAGAACTAAATCACTGATACTAGCATGTAGTAGATAACAAAATAGTCGCTTAAGATCAATCAGCAAGCTTTTCACAGGCACCAGTTATGTTCCACGGACTGTTCTGGGCACTGGAATACAGAGACAAAAATGAAACAATCCCTGCTCTCAAGGAGTTTATATGCTATACATATACATATAAGTATATGCATACATATACTTAACACATATACGTATAAGTAGATCCCCAAAATTTTATTTTTAAAAATACATGGTAATTTTGGGAAGAAGGCACCAGAATCTGGGAACTTTCTGGGAAAGAACCTCATGTAAGAAGTGGACCTTAAGCCGAGCTTCGAGGGAGGCTAAAGATTCTAAAGTGCAGGCTTTGGTGTAGGGAACTCCAGGAAAGGAAGTCCCCTTTTGTCGACAGACCAGCTCTGCAGCTTATGGTCTTAGAGAGCTGCAATAGAAAATGAAGTCCTTTGTAGACACTTCTTAGAAAGCAAATGTAAATTTATTTTTCCAAAGTTGAAGTACTTTATAATGATTAAGACTGACTGGAGAAAAGATAAGAATATACCCTTCCCTTCCTTCTTTGAAAAACTGGGGGACTCTGAGTGCACCTATTATACCCATATTGCATGTCTTGTCAGATTTTGTTGGTATGTTGATTAATTTTACCCAACTTTTTTTTTTCTTCTTTGTTACAAGGGATAGCTGTCTGGGAGGAGGAGGGAAGGATATATTTGGAAATGAAGGTTATGTAAAAAAAAATTACATAAAAACTTTAAGAGAATGAATTACCCTACTCTCATTCAGGCAGACTCTCCTACACAGGACAGATGTGCTCGTTTTACATTCATCGGACACATATTGAAATTATTGATTTTTTTTCATAGAGACAGAGAGTGGTGCAGTAGATAAAGTACCAGCCTTAGAATCAGGAAGACTTGAGTTCAAATGTGGCCTCAGATATTTAACTACCTTGGTGACACTCAGCAAGTCACTTTAAACTGTTTGCCTCAGTTTTCTTTACTGTAAAATGGGGATAATCACAGCACCTATCTCCCAAGGTTGTTGTAAGGATCAAAATGAGATAATATTTGTAAAATGCTTAGCTCATTACCTGGCACATAGTAGGTGCTATATAAATGCTTATTCCCTTCCCTATCCCAACAAATGGGGGGAAAAGAAGAGAAAAGCAAAATGACCTGTAGCAGTCCCTTCTTAGAATGGATCAGATTCCTTATATTCCATTATAGTAATTGTGCCCTTTGTACTTGGCGTCTCCTGGGGAATTTTTAATTACTCATTAAATATTTTCTTGCCATCACCTCTTCTAGCCAGTCAGAAAAAAAGGATGGATTCGAGTTAGTGTGTGAAAAGCTGGACCAGGTGTCTTTGTGCCAGAGATATTTTTATTTTTCTTCCTTCTAAAAAAATTTTAAATATAAATGATAGGCTCCAGGCAATGCTTTGTCTGTAGAGCCCCCTGGAAGCAAATTGCTTGAAGACAAGTGATTCTTTCCCATTTTTTAAAAAATGGCTCTTTAATTGCAAGGGGTGAAGAAGTGAGTGAAAGGAAAGGCCGGGTCTCTATGCAGTCAGGCTCCAACCCACCTTTCCTCACTTATTTCACATGATTCCTCTTTCTGCATTAGTGGGTTGTTTTTTGTTGTTGTTGTTTTGCTTTTTGGCTAGGCAATGGGGTTAAGGGACTTGCCCAGGGTCACACAGCTAGTAAGTGTCAAGTGTCTGAAGCCAGATTTGAACTCAGGTCCTCCTGAATCCAGGGCTGGAGCTCTATCTACTGTGCCACCCAGCTACCCCCCTGCATTAGTGTTGTAACCGGTCTAGGCTATTTGATGTTCACAAATCTGGCTGTGCCCCCTCCTATTCATTTTCATGGGTTGTTAGGAATATACTCCTACCTGTCCATCTGTCACAATCCTTCTCTTCCTTCAAGGCCCAGCTTAGTTACTCTGTCTTCCATGGAGCCTTTTCTGATCCCCCTAAGCTAAAAGTGTTCCCTCTTACCTCTTATGATCTCCTACAAGCCCTTCTCTCTGGATCTCCCATTGCCACGTTCTGCTTTGCCTTATACTATATATTTGGATGCAACTCCGTGAGAATAAGGACATTGTCATCTTTCATCTTTGCATTCTCTAGTGTCTAGCGAATATAATGGGCATTATTAATGTTTGTTGGATGAAAATGAATTGTTCATATAAAAATAAAACAAATAATTCGAACGGCTTCTTGGCAGACTCTTAGGAGTCATGGTCTACTGGTTTTAAGATCCACAGGGATACCCACATTTCTCCAGTGCTGAAGAGCGTCTTGCCATAGGAGCTATCAGAATGTTCTCTTTAGAGGTGGAAGCTTTCAGGGGTCTTTTCCTGTGTTGTTTCCCTAGTAAAGACCTACATGTCTCTGTCACCCTAACTGCTCAAGTGTCAAGCTGAGCTCTGTGATCTTCTGGACCTTTTTTTTTTCCGGTCTGGATTTGTGATTTCATCAACATAGATTTCATTCCTCCCTGATAAGGAAACTCTTTCTACTAATCAGTCTCTCCTCCACATCAGCCCTTTCTCTACTCTTACCCTTTGACAGCTGCTTGAGGACACTAAGAGATATAAGTGGCTTTCTGAGGGTCATGCAGCAATTATGTATTTCAGAGGCAAGTCCCACCTGACTCCAAGGCCAGCTCTTCAAACTCTCCCCCCACATGACCTCTCCTCCTTTTTTAGAATGATCGAAATCTGTGGCTTTCAGTCTCAATGGCTGAAAGGAATATTGATTGTAATTCTGACCTCTCTGTTCATTCACTCTTTTCCACTGCAGAATTGGAAGACTTTTTGATGGCACGGAGCCAATTGTTCTGGACAGCCTCAAACAGCATTATTTCATTGACAGAGATGGACAGATGTTCAGATATATACTAAATTTTCTACGAACATCAAAACTACTCATTCCGGATGATTTTAAGGTGAGATTTCTGTGTTAAACTGCGGACAATATAGACATGTAATGTGTTTTGAAGTGGTGAGAGCAAAGTTTTGGAATTTCTTGTTTTCAGTGTATTTTGGGATCAGATTTCTTCTGAAAGTATATAATAATGCTAGTAGTCAACACTCAAGCTGCTTTACCTACATTACTATCACTTGGTCCTCACAGAGGGTACCCTTGTTATCTCCACTTTGACAGCTGAGGACGCTGAGGCTCACGTGAAGTGGCCTGCACAAGATAACGCAACTAGGAAGTGTCTAAAGTGGCTCTGTCTTCCTGCCCAGGTCCATCACCACACATGTGATGCTGTGCTGCCATTTATAGCACTTCGGTATTGACAAGAAAGCCTCTAAGCCCCTTGAAGGCAGGCCCTGCCTCATTTTTCAACTTTATATCCTCAGAGTAGTAGGCCCAGCACCTTGCGCCTACTATGTATGAACTTAATATGTTGATTGAATTAAAGCAAATCATTAAGTTTGAGGATGACTAAGTTAGAGTCATCAGTCCTGTGACTTGGACCACTGAATTGGAATTCAGATATACTCCCACAAGTTGTCAAAAGTGAAGCCAAGATGTGTTAAATATAGACCACCACATTTAGGACAGGAAAAGAAAGCACATTAGAACCTCAAAATATTTTCTATTTTGCATAGCCAGTATAAGGCAGGCCAGACATAGAACACATCTTAGCAGGTTTAGTTACTGAAATACCAAAGGATCTTATCACGAGCTACCTTCCCCATAAGTCAGTTCTTCAGCATGAGAAACACTATGGCAAGGCCCCAGTTAATCAGTCAATCAGCAAACATATTAATCCCCTACTGTATAGCAAGTACCGGGCTAGGCCCTGGGGATACAGATACAGCAGTGAAACATTTCTTACTCTCCTGGGGACAGGAAACAACATAACATTTTCACAGATCAGTAAGTATGGAATACATAAAAAAATCAGTACAAGGTGATTTCCACAACCAGGAGAATCAGGAAAGGTCTCTTGAAGGACATGTCAAGCTGAGTCTTGGCAATAGCTGGGAGAGTGCATTGCAGCCATAGGAGACCGCTGGTACACAAAGCTCCAAGGTGGGACCTGGGAACCACAGATAGGGCAGAGAAGTGTGGGAGGAGGAAGAATATGTAATCAGTCTGAAAAGATTGGCTGGAGCCACATTCTGAGTCTTTGACCATCAAAGGGAAGAGTTTTCATTTTATCCTACAGGCAAAGCCCTGAAGCCTTGAGCAGGAGAGTGAGATGGTCAGACCTGAGCTTTAGGTCTGTCCGTCTGCCAATATGTAGCTTGGAGATGGCAAAGACCAGCTAGAAGGCAGGTGCCATAGTCCAGGTGACAGACAATGAGGGCCTAACCTAGGTTAGTTGTGGTGCGAATGGAGAGAAGGGGACATTACTGAGGAGGTGAAATCAACAAAATTTGGGAACTGCGGTGGGGGGGGGGTAGCAGCAGGGTGAGTGAGAGTCAAGAATTGAGAATCATTCCTAGGTTGTGATCTTGGGTGGCTAGAAAAATAGTGGTGCTCACCATAAAATAAAAGGGGGGGGGGAGTTTGAATGAGTTTGGGGATTTAGGAAGGAAAAGTAATGAATTCTATTTTGGACATGTTGAGTTTAAGATGCCTGTGGGACATCCAAATGGGATATATTTGCAGGCAGTTAAAGATGCAGAACCAGAGCCCAGAAGAGAAATAGGGAGGGATTTGAGAGTCATCTACATTAACATGAGCCAAAGATGTGGTCAAGAAAGAGAATACAGAGTGAAAGCAGGAGGGCTCTGTACAGAGAGAGACCTGGGATACATTTTGTCATGTGGGAAGGGATGGGAATGATGATCCTGCAGAGGAGACTTAGGAGCATGTATCAGACAGGTAGGATAAGAACCACAAAAGGAGAAGAGAATATGGAGTCGGAAAGCTTAGTCAGATGCTACAGAAAAATTAAAAAAAAAAAGATGAGTACTGTGATGAGGCCATTGGATTTAACAGTACATAAATCATTGATGACCCTGGGAAAAGCAGTTTGAGTGGTAGAAGAGGAAATCAGATTCCAAAGGGTGGAGAAATGAGTAAAAGGTGAAAAAAATGTAGACAATGAGTTTAGAAAGTTTTTCTAAGTGTTTGTCTATGAAAAAGATTGGAGAAATGTGGGTATGTTTTGTAGGCAATTCTGAAAGAGACAATGGATATTGAGGAGTTGAAAATTAGGGAGAGGGAAGATGGTCAAAAAGGCAAGATTCTAGAAGACAGAGGAAGAGGGGCGCTCAAGGGCACAGGTAGAGGCATTGGTGTTGGCTAGAGGGGCCACCTTACCTCTTGATATTGGAGAAAAGGAGGAAAGAATGGAGGATGTACACAAATGAGATGAAAAATGACTAGGTAAATGCAAATTTAGCACCAGACTTGTTTATTATTATGTAGAACTCTGTAAACTTAAGAGGGGTATGGAAAACTTAGTTATCTAGTGGCGCATAAGATGATTTCAGGTTATAAAACAGGATGTACAAGGAAATTATAAGTAAATAGGAATTCTATACCTTGAACTGAAGGCTGGAAGGTGCCTTTAGCTCTGTGAAGTTATTTAGTGGAAGATGATAGCGGTTTCTTTCTCATTTTCACTAAAAACTGAGTAAGAAGAAGTGAATTTAAATTGTAAAGGAGAATACTGTCCAAGGGGAACTTGCTGATAGTAGTTAAGCCCTGGAACAAAATTCCTGAGGAATCTCTTTCCCTGGAAATTTTTAGAACCCAAACAGATAACCTCTTGTCTCACTAAGGCCTCCTCATCCAGATATAAAGGCCCTATTTTAAGGCCCTTTCTTCTAGATCATTATTTACCAATTCTTTATACAGAACAAACCTTTTAAATTGGCTTAGAATGTATCTATGGTCTGTGGGGGGTTTTTTAAGTGACATAAAGCCTAATCCTTGAGATAAGATAGTTTTCTTGTCCCTTATGTATTAATGGCATTAAATTGCAGTACAATATATCTTCTGGCTTCTGAGTGGTACAGTGGATAGAGTGCTGAACCTAAGAGTCTGGAAGACCTGCATTCAAATCCTACCTCACATACTTATTAACTAGGTGATCCTGGACAAGTCACTTCAACTTTTCCAGCTTCAGTTTCCTCAGCTATAAATGGGAATAATAATAGCACTTACCTCATAGAGCCAGATGAGATAACTTATGTAAAGTGCTATGCAAACCTTAAAACACTATATAAATGCCAGTGAGAATGATGATGATGATGATGATGGTGATGATGGTGATGATGGTGAAGTTGAATGTTTCTAGAAGGATCATTTGAGGATAAGAGATATTCTGGGTCACTAAACAATAGTAGCTGAGAACTGAATAGTAATATTCCCTGGATATTCAAGATAGTTTTGAGTTTAGAAAAAAACATGTAAATCCTCTTTTTGCCCTTCCCTAAATATTCTAAGAAGTACTTTCTCTTTGTCACTCATTGCCTCCTGACACTGACAAAGGAACAAGGCATTTTGGAAGTTAAGGGATTATATTATGCTGGGGAGTGGCAAAAAGGGAGGATTTTTTTATTACTTTTATTTCCTTATATTTAATACTGTGATAGTTTAGTAAGTGTATTAAATCTGTAAATGCCTGTTAAGTCTGTAGATTATCCATTGTCCCTTAATATTTCATTTCTATAAAAGCTATATCTGAGCCAGATTCCTAATTATCAGCCTGAATAACTTTATCTTTAAAGATGCCATTTAAACCACCACCATTTATTCCGCTTTTCAACCATTTAACCATGTCTTCACACATTTTGGAAATGTCTTTGGAGACCATTCATTCCCAAACTTTTCTGCATAGATATCTTGAATGTGAATATGTTTCACAATTTTTCCTCTTTTTCCTTAGCATTTTCTACTTAACTCTTTTATTTATTTCTCTAAGGTTTTGGTCCTTCTAAGACTAAGTCCTTGTTTGTTGATTTGTTGTTTTAACCTTTATGAGCCCTACCTAAACTATTTTAAAACCAAGAACCTCATTTTAGAAAATAATACCCTGGGCTAGGATTTTTTAACCTGGAGTCCATGAACTTTTTTTTTTTAACGTTTTGACAACTGTAGTTCAATATAGTTGGTTTCTTTTGCAATTCAGTGAATTTTTTAATGCATTTACACATAATTATCCTGAGATAATGTCCATAGGCTTTACCAGACTGTCAAAAGGATAAGAATCCCTGATTTAGAATTAATACATTCTCTGGTTTACATATTAAAATATCCAGGTGTGAAGTGAACCGAGCCTCAGTGATTACATGTACGTTCAGATTAACATCATAGCCTTTAACTGGACAAAGGGACAGATAGATACTCCAGTCAAATCAACAAGCATCTGTTAAGCAAATAACATATTCCAAACTCTATGCTAAGTGCTTAGACTACAAATACAAATAAAAAGATAATCCAAGCCCTTAACAAGCTTCCATTCTTCTAATGAAGACAGTACGTAAAAGGAAGCTGAAAGGGGGAGCTGGAAAGAGAGCACAAAGAGTGGGGGCAGGGGACGAGGAGGAGGTACCTGAAGAAGAATAAAGACATAGCTGACCTGGGCATTTTCTTTAAAATGGAGGTTCTGCATTTTATACAATAACAATGACATTGTAAAGACAAACAACTTTAAAAGACTTTAAAACTCTAATCAACACAGTTCCTGAAGACTGCTGATGAAACATGCCACATGCCACCCACCTCCAGGTGGAAGTGATGGACTGAGGGTGCAGAGTGAGACTTTTTTTATCTTGGACATGTTCAATGTGGGAATTTGTTTTGCTTGACTATACATATGTGTAATGGGTTTTGTTTTTCTTGCTTTCTCTATATAGGGGAAGAGGAGGGAAAGAATTAAAAACTGAAAATAAAATTGCATTTTAAAAATGTTAATGGAGGTTCAGGGAGTTGGAACCACCCAGGTAGAAGAATGGACCATGGGGACAGAAGTTC